GGATCAGAATATAGGAATTACTCAATGATTTATTTATTTCTCCCCCCCCACTTCCTTACCTGTGCTCCTGTTAGTCTGGAGTGTAGCTGTTGTTTGGCTGTTTCTAACAGCTGATTCTTGGTCTTCAGCTCTGCTTCTAGTTTGTATCTGTTGAGAGTTCTGTAGAGTCAAACATCAAAGATTTATGGGCAAAAATATCAGTATTACACACCTTCTCTTTTACTTCCACAAACATGCCCTTTTTTGAAGCATTTGCTCTTGTTTCTGACCAAGAGCTTTAATCAGCTTTAATCAACAAACTTGGCAAGAAAGCTGTACATGGGTGAGAGCTCATCATAACCCTCCAAGAGGGAACATTACTGCCTGACGGCAACTGATAGAAATTTGAGGAAACATACCCTCTTGTAGCTGTCTTCTTTGAAAGCGGCTCCACTTTCCTGGCAGATTTAGGCAACCTTAAAAGACGGGTAAAATACAATTACCAGAAGACCACTGCATTCTTGCAGATTACCAAGTCTGTTAGTTTGACAAAGCCTGCAAAACGCTAAGCCATCTTTAGGACATTTGCCAAGTAATAAATCCATCAATACTTTACTTTCATTTACCCTTGGTTTGTAGCTTTGAAGACACCATCTGCTAGAACGTTTGAGCTAAAGTTAAAATTCAGATCTTTGTTGAACTCTAGATCTGTTGTTTTGCTGACGCATTGTTTCTTTGAAGGAAAAGCCATTTGCATTTCTGCAAGAAAAAGACAACAATGAAAACACTACAGTCTACAAAAGATCACCATAACACGCAGAAGTACTAGATCTCTTAAGCCTTCAATTTGAAGTAAATCACAATTATATCTTGCTAGAATGGAGACTTTAAGGTAGCGACAACTAAGGGCAGTCTTCAAACTTTACCCAGGATCAAGGGTCCAGAACAAGCCACAGATAGCTCAGATGGTAGGCAGTGTTAAAACATATTACCGGGCTAGCGCTAACAAGAGAAAGTCTGAAAGTGATAACACAGGCATGATAATAAAGGAGGTCTCAACATCAAGTGGACAGCATGCCACAGGGTTCCAAGCAAAGTTGTTCAGTACTGGAAGCAAAACAAACACAGCCCACTTGAAACTCTCAGTTAAGAGAACTTCGTGTTTCAATTCACTATATGTAGATACACTTCTAAAATAACACTGTAGAGAACTAGCTTCCTATGTAAAGTTTATTCAGCTTTAAACCACAGCTGTCTGAGTACATAAAGCTTTGTTCACATAGCGGGTTTAGCAAGCTTTCCCCCACGCCCCCCAAGTTATGTGTTTTTCAAATGACATACCCATAAGCACATTTATACCAGAGTAACACGGGAGTTTCCACTGATACAGACTAGCTACCGTGCTATTAGTGTTACATCTGGGTGCCTCGCCTTTCTAAAATGCTGTAAGTAGTATCAAAAGACTTATAGAAGTAGGAGCCTCTGAAGGAAAGTATCTTTAACCTCAGCGGGCCGCTGCGGTCAGTAGGCCCAGCACTGGAGCACATCTCAGCGGGCTGAGCTGTGGTGCAGCGAGCAACAGCCCGCCCGGCTCAGAGGCGCACGTTTAGCAAAAAAAAAAAGCGTTAACCGAAGTCTTAAGTGGGGACAAAACGGTTGAATAAAGCCTGTAATTAGACTTCGCAACGGCCACCACAGACCAAGGCCGCGTTGGAGCTCCCCGACAGACACCGCTCCCCGCCCACCCCCCTCCCGCGCCGGCCTAACCCGGG